ATTGATAAATCTCTGCACTGTTTTGGAACCTATGTGAACTTTTCTTTATAAAGATGAGATTTAAGCATGGACAGCATGTTGTTTTGGGGTTTTTTTGTTTGGTTAGTTGATTTGGTTTTTTTGGTTGTATTTTGTTTTTCATGGAGAAAAATATTTTGTGAGCTCTTGTGATTATTTTTTTTTCTGTTGCACAGAAAATGAATTGAGAACCCATTGGTAACATCAGTTCTTGATATCTAAGCATCTCTCTGCAGGTTTGTGAACATTACCATTCTTGGTGAAACCTGTTAAAAAGGTTTCAGGAAACATTGTTTACCATATACATTAAATGAGGTCTCAGTAGGAGCCAAAACAAGTGCTTGGTTTCCTACTTTGGACAACAGAGAAATCAGTAAGAAGTTAATTGTAATTATTAATTTGAAGTGCTTTCACTTGTATTATATACTATAACTATTGTATTATAATAGTTTTAAAACACAAATGTTGTAAATAAAGGAAAGAATGTTGTGTGTTTCCGTCAGAAACAATTGCTTTTTGGAAGAAAAATAGTTTAGAAACATTAGTAAAAATAGTAAGTTGATATAAAATATACTTATTATGAGAATTTCAAGATATATTTTGTTGTAGCTGAGTATTGATTTTTACTTTCTTGTACTTTGAATATCATAATTGTTATATATTTTCATGTTAATTTTACACTTTTGTAATGCAAAAAATATGAAAATATTTAGGCTGTAAGAGGGGAAACAGTATTTCAGTGTAAGTACTTAGACTGCTTTAGAATTCAGGACTTCTAAATTTTAATGGACTATCTAATGGGCCACCAAGAGTATCTGTATGTTTTCTCTGTATCAGCTGCAGTAATGACTGAAGATTTTTCTAAATAATATGTATAAATTATTTAAATGTAGCCCATAAGATTCAAACAGAACAAGTTATGGGACAAAACTGTCCATAAAACACCTGCAAACCCTGAAGATTTTATCCTATAAATTTGCATTTTTTTACCCTGTGAGATTTGGATAATGATAATTATTTCATGGTGGCTCTGCTCCCCTATTTGCTAAATAATGGAAATTATGCTTTTAGGAAAGCATTATGCTTTTAGGAAAGCATTCTGCCTGCCTGTTATGTTACCTTAACTGTCGATGTGAATCTGTGTTATTCCTGTAACACCTCCATCCATCCCTGCGGCCACTGTCCGCTCACGTTTCTGTGACACCGTGAAGTGTTTGAGAGGAAGATGTAAAATATAGAGCAGGACTGCCAGGAGTCATCTCTGTGGTAGGACTGTGAGTGTCCCAGCACCCACACAGACGAGAGTGTTGTGGCTGGTGGTGGGTTTCTCTCTCTTTTAATATTTAGGTGCTGCAAAGAGTTGAAAGGTGAAGGTGAGGGTAGGAAGAAGAGAGACACGAGGTCCAGATTTCTTCTTCTTGTTGCTCCAAAGCAGAGGGCTAGAGAAATGCAAAAATGTTACAAAAAGGTCATGGATTAGGTCTAAAAACTGCTTGATGGCTTACAAGGCAAACAAGGTCTCTGTGAGGGTGGCAAGGTGCTGGAACAGGTTGCCCTGAGCAGTGGTGAATGCCTGGAACTGTTCAAGCCCCAAGGATGGGGCTCTGAGCAACCTGGTCGAGTGGAAGGTGCTCCTGCCCAAGGCAGGGGGTGTTGGAATTGGATGATCTTTAAGGTTCCATCCAACCCAAACCATTCTATGATTTTTCAAGGAGCAGCACAGTTATGAGTGTGCTGTGATGCATGTGATGGGTTGGGTGACCTTCAGGGAGTGCAGGATAGGGGTGTGGTGAGCCCATGCTTTGACAAAGTTTTCATGACATTTCTTTGCTTTGGGATCATCAGTGTTTCAGAGCATTTCTGAGACTCTTATGTCTGAGTTGGCTTCTGGCTGTGGCCTATGTTCTTCAAGAGGCTCAGGAATAAAAGTCACCTCATGTGCTAAGCTGGAAAGAATAAGCAATTGCAGGTGTAAAGAAGGTGGAAATATGAACATTTGTGCTGGTCCAATTAATTTAACTCAACTTTTGTCATTTTTGTATGCACAATGTTAATTAATAACTTTTAGCTAGCTTTTTTATCAGAAGCCTCAAAAAAACTTATAGAAAAGGTATTTTTTTATTGCAATGGGAAACTGAATTAAAGGGTGATTAAGTGATTTTTCTGAACTCATCAAAGGCAGAGCCAAGGATAAAGTTTGCATTTATGAGACCCTGACATTTATTCACTAGATCACAGCACTATGGTAGAATTCTGAGATACAGTTCCATTACAATGATAAGTCAAACATTTCTATGAACTCTCTCTTTTATGGCTATAGTAGGAAAGGAATATCTCCTTTTCATAGGGTATTGTCTAACATATGCATCCTGCAAGTGTTTCTTTTGTCTTATAACAGTTTTACTACCAATGGAAAAAAATTATAGGGAATGCTTAACATGGTGAGCTGTATCTATCTGGTTGCTATTGTATTTTTTAAAAAAAGTTAATTTTGTAATGGTTTTAAATTATAAGTAATGTCTTAAACACATCAGGCTTGACTTGCTGTTTGAGTCAATTCAGTTTAAATTCAGGCCTTCTTTTCTCATTTTTCTTGCACACACTTTCTATTCTTCATGTCATTCTAAAATCTGAAAAAACAAACTTGATTGCTTTGCAGATTAAAAGTAAAAATTGGTTATCTCATGGAATAGAGAACCAAGCTTGGCATTTTTATTCTTGGAAGGATGACATTTAAATTGCTATTGATCAGGGAAAAAAAAGTTCAGTTTGAGCAAAAGAATAAGGATAAACTCAAACTTATTTGCTGAGGATTTGCAAACAATTTAGACATATAACAGACTTGCAGCAGAAAAATCTATGTTTGCTGGAAGTCATTGGGTTTTGTTAACTCTGTAATGCTTTCAATGTTTTTAATGCTTATTGTTAAAGGATAATTTTGAATCCTGTTTAATCAAAAGATGAAATCATAGAAGAGGGAACTAAGGCCTTGTAGTGGTTTAACCCCAGCCAGCAACTAAGTATCACACAGCCACTTGCTCCCTCCCTCCCCTCTGCTGTTGGCATGAGGAGGAGAATCAGGGGAAAAACCAACCAGCCAACCAAACCAAAAAACCCTTGTGGGTTGAGATAAGAACTGTTTATAAAAATACTAATAATAGTAATAAAAGGAACACAAAGGAGAGGGGGAGAGAGATAAAATGCCAGCAAGACAAGTGATGCACAACATGATTGCTCACCACTCACTGACCGATGGCCAGACTGTCCCTGAATGGTGATTGGGGTTTTGTTTGGTTGTTTTGTGGTGGTTTTTTTTGAAGGCTAAAACCTGGACAAGACTGTGATATGCAGGATCTTCCTGGAAGGTGAATGCTCCTCCCTCTTCTGTGGGATAACTCAGTTTATTTCTGTTCTGGAGCCTCTTGCCCTGGTGAACAACAGGTGATTGGAATGCTCTGAAACAACTGCTAGTACCTTTGGAAGGTGTTAGTGCCCTTTGCCTTGACTTGTTGATGACACTTTCAGACAGTTCAAGAACAGTTCTTAAAATATTTTTATCCTGAAGGCTTATTGTGGTGTTGACCTTGTGGCATGAGAAAAAAATTGAGAAAAACAAGCACACGAACAAAGCACACAAACAAAAAATCCCAGTCTTTTAAGAGAGATCTGATATGTCTGATATTTGCTTAGCATCCTTTTTGATTAACCCACACACACACACACACATTTCTTGGTTTTTGATGTCTAAAATGTTTCTCTCATGGTAACTACAGTTTTCTCTTTCCATTTTATTGTATGTGGGTTTTTTAGATAGAACAAATACCTTTCAGCAATTTTAGAACATCCATAATAATGCTGTTCTAGTTTTTGTGTGCGTAAAAAGCAATCTTAAAATTTTGTTGGTTTGTTTGCAGTGTTAGGTTGGCTTTTTGTAGTACTTGCAGAAGCTCCCAGAAGGGAGGAATTTCCATGTACTCATCTTCACTTTTAAAAAATGCCTCTCCACTTTTATTTTTTCTGTTTGATTTTTTCTCAGCATGATTCATATTGCTGATTATTTTTTTTGTCCTGCCTCTAGTTTACCTTTTCCACTGTACTACTAATCCACTGTGTGTATATGTTAGGAATCCCTTGTTCCTTCTTCTGAAGCATCTGGAGTAGATTAGTCAGGCTGTTAGAGCTCTGCCTAAATCACAGGCAGAGAACTGATTTTCATCAGTGATTCTATTTGAAGTAGAATCAGCCCTTTTCAACATGTCTTTTCAACACTCCACTGATGTGCAAGTCTTTAGGTACGTACACCGTTATAAAAAACAGATCATCGCTCAAGGTGCTTGAGGCTAAAATTTTTGGCTGTAAAACTTAGAATTTTCCCCAAATAGGGAAGAAATAAGGGAAGACAGAAAGGGGAAATAAGAGAGATGCTAGATATATTTGTCAGTTGTGAGGTTTTGGGGGCTTAGGTCAGTTCTTTAAGACTACTCATGGTCAATAGCACAGCAGGATCCGCACTGAACCTGCTCTACACTTTATTTATGAATAAGGGCAGGGTGCTGGGGTTTGGAGACATTTTACCCTTGTCATTCTATTAAATACTTCTGTTTCCTGGGATACAGTTACCTGAAAGATCCAGAAATATTATATAACCCAATCTGATGGACAACAGAATTACAATTTTGAACCAAAATGACCTTGTTTTAATGGAGTTCTCCACGACGTGCACAGGGAAGTTGGGTCTGTTATTCATCAGAGGGTACGAAGTATACATTTGCAAAGATACACTGATACAAATGAATGGTTATGAGAATTTTATGACCCACTCATTTCTTTAATATTTTAAGTAGGATGAGGCAATTGGCTGGCTAATGAGATCTTAATGGGGGTAGTGGTCTGAATGAGGGGAGTATAACTGTCTTCATTTAGTCTAAATCTGTCCTGCTTAAAAATTTACTGTCCTGAGAATTTTTCTTTTAACATTGCAGAACTGGTACTGACGAGATGACAATTATATGTAATGGTTTGAAAAGGGGCAAAGACAGCAACAGAGAAAGTAATCTCAGCAAATGTAAGCATTACTGGTGAGGGGTTTTTGGTTTTTTTTTTTTTTTTTTTTTTTTTTTTTTTTTTTTTTTTTTTTTTTTTTTTTTTTTTTTTTTTTTTTTTTGAGAAGACCTGCATATTTTCAGGTCCAGATAGAATTTTCTTTTATCAAAGCCCAGGACTTTAAATCTCTGTGACCCAAAAGACAAATTTCATAAATAATTTTCATCAGTTAAGGCAATAGCTTTCATTTTAATTTCCTACCAGAGATATGCAACGAAATGTAGGAGTATAGTAACATAAATCTTAGTTCTATGGGCTTTTGTTTGTTGTGTCCTCTAATTTTAATTCACTCCTATTTCTTTCTATCATTTATTTTTTTTCTTCCTTGTGATAGTGAGAGCTTATCACATGAACAGTTTAATTTTAGTTGATGTATCTTTTCTACTTTAAGAAATTGGTTTTGCTCTCTCTTTTTGCTTCTCATCCATTTCCATCTGATTTTCCCAAGACTAGCATAGTAACTATGACTCACAGTTTATATTTACTTTCATTTCCCTTTTGGTCTAAAATTGCTTTCACAGATGTCTCTCTTGCTGCTGTATACTTTGAAGTATAACACGGTGAGGTCAATTAGGTCTCTGAAATTTATGTAGCACTTAGTTGCAGTAGCAGTGCTACTGTAGCTGTTATGGTCTACAATATTTTGGCAGAAGGTAGCATCTTAGACCAACCGGGTTAGTCTGAAATAAAACCTGCAACTTGTAGGAATATGTGCTCTTCCTGTCTGAAAGAGAAACAGCAATCTTTAAAACTAAATACCAATTGAAAAGAATTATTCCAACTTAATTAGCTGTGTTACTTAGACCATGGGATGATAGATAATTGGCATCTGCGTCTGTGTGGAGGTGTTAACCATGTCTTTACCTTTTTTTCCTGACTTACAAGAAAGGGAGATAGTGAACTTACCATCTGCGGGATGTTGTTGGTTAACAGAGGGAAATTGCAATGTTCCATGAAGGCAGTTCTTCTATTGAGCACATAATTGTGAGTATCCTCTAGTGTTATGAATTCCAGTTTCCAGTTCACATGTGAATTAGTTCATCTTTTATAGGTATTTTGGGAGCCTCCCTGGTGGGGAGGAGATGGGAGTCAGAGATGACTCATGATAAATGCCCTTCTCTGGGTGCATGTGCCCTTCATCAGCTGTCTCTGCAAGGTCACTGTGAGCCTGTTTCGTGCCAGCTATCTGGGGAACGCTGTTTGGTGCTTTGGATGAAGTATCCTGCATTTTGGAAAGGGTGTGGACTAGGTATGGTGGTTTTTTTCCCCTGTGAGAGGCATCTTCTGTGGGGTGTCTAGATTTGTGCTTTTTCCCGAGGTGTGAGCAGGTTACATATGATACATATCGTGTATTTGGGGGTGTTGATGATAAACAGGGTTGTTTGGAAGGTAGAAGTTTCTGGGAAACATATTTTAAGACCAAAACTTCTTCTAGCACAGGTTGCAACTTTTCAAGTGTTGCATTTTCCTTAAAAAGGAATTGTCTGTAGGAGGTATTTTTCTAGAACACTGCTCTAGTCAGGTAAAAATCCCCTTTAGGTAGCTGAGTGGTAACACAACAGTATTTGAAGTACAGAAGATATGGCAGTATTTAAAAGGATGATTCATATTATTTCTCTTGTTTACCTATATTGTTAAAAATGAATTTATAATGACTAATTAGTGCAACTACTACTGCAACTTTTTTAGTAATAGTATCAACAAGTAAGAATTCTTGGTTCATCATGCAGCTATTGAATTCTTTTTCATCTTCTTAGAAAAATTGCTGTGTTTTTGGAGATGGAAATTAGCCTGGGCAAACTCCTGACTGTTTTCTGCTAAAGCTTGTCATTTAAAAGGGACAAAAGAGTCCTACAAGAGGCTCCTCAGGGTTTTTTAATGTCCTTAGAATGACAGTTTGAGTACAGCACCATAGGAGGGATAGAGATATAACACCCTTTTTAAGTTTGTTGTAGTGGATAATCTCAGAGCTGCTTGTCAACCTCATTGATGTAGTCTTTCCGTTTCATGATTACTATCTCCTTTCTTTTGTTTGCTACTTTAATTACTATTTGATGGTTATGGACAGTATGGATTTTCTCCCTGAAAGATAACAACCTTTTTCTCTTCTATAGTGTTTTCTGCTCTGTAGTCAGAAAACATCTTTCTTTCAGATATCTCACTAATATATACAGTTAAACTTAATTGTTTGCAATTTGTATGCAGCTTTGAAATATCCTCTGTTTCAAATCTGAAGAACTTGTGTGCCTAAAAGTCTATTTTCTTTTCCTAATATAGGCTCTTTTTCTATAAATCTTGTCTTAGCTTGAGTGAGAATCTGTTTCTAACATGGATCATTATCCTAAATAAGATATTAAAATGTGACACCCCATTCAAACTGAAATAGCAAAAATTCAGTACAACTATTATTGCTTTGCTTTAAAACCAGTGAATTTAGGAAGCCGTTTTATTAACATGTTCTAGAGTATAAAATTTGCTTAATAAACTTGCAACTCTACATGGGCAGCTAAAATCTTAACATTGTCATTTATTAAGCTTAGTCAGATAAAGGCAGTGAAACCCAAAATGTATATCCCCTTTAAGGAAATCCAAATTTCCTGAACAATCCTAACAAAAGGACACAGATGCTTGAACATGCATAGAGGTGAAATTAAGGGCTTAATTTCAGTATTGTGAGTTTTAGAATTAGTAGTCCTCTAGCTCCCAAAGTCTTGAAGAACGTAAATTTTATTAGGTGAATATCCCTAAGAATTGTTATTTTTGTGCTTCACTAAACCAGTGCTGCTTTGGCAGAGCTGAATAGATCAGCATGTTTCATAGGTTCTGAGCTCAGCTGTCTGAATAGCACCAGAGCAACTCTTCTAGCAGTGTATGATATATTGACGTTTATTTTTTTTAAGATTTTTAATTTTTTTTTCCTGAATAAGGGCCAGGGGACAAAACAGCTCCCTGTGAGAAGGGAAAACAAAGAAAAAATGGACCCTGCTGGCCTGCTGCTCCTGTGGGCCTGCTGACAAGGAGGGTGAAGGTGGCAGTGGCTTTGGGAGGAGCAGCCTCACCTGGATCCTACAACAATTCTTGGGGCTGCCCAGGGCTCGAGTGCAGTGAGAGCTGTGGGGCCAAGGCCACTTGGACACAGGGAAATTTCTGCTACAGGCCAGCACACTTCTTGTCCGTGCAAAACTCTCAGCTCAGCCCAAAACACACCTCTCGGGCAGCAGCAGAAATGGAGGTGATGGAGATGCTGGTAATCTACTGTCTGTGTGATTACAAATTAGCTAAAGCACATAAACCAGTCCTTGGAGTAGGGTTGCAATTACAGTCTTCCTCTCTCAGTAAGATGAATATCTTAATCATGGAAGCAAAGGGTTATGAACTGATTTGTCTACGGTAGGGTCAGGGCTTTACACTTGCCAGTGGGGCATGATCATTATAATCGAGCAGAAGTCCAGTATTCACAGAGGAGAAGAATAAGGGCCACAAGGTCTATAATTCTGTGCTTTAATATTTTTTCCCCTATGCTAAATTAACAAGTTTTATATAGTAAGTGCAAACGAATATCAGGCCACCTGGAGGAATAGCAACCGTTTGAAGAAAACCAAGAGAGACATCAACACTTACTTTCCTGGAGATAGTTACAGATATTGCTGATGATGGTATTTTGCAGTAGAAATAGAAAGTCCCACTCTTAGAGGCAGTAGGGAAAAGACTAACAGTATCAACAAAAACAAATTAGAGGAAATGGATTTACTAGAGTTGCTAAACAGGTGAGAATAAAAGAGCTTGACAACAGTTTGCCTTCATGTGGTCTGAAGGACATTAAGGTAAAGAGCCAGCAGTTGTGGACAAGCATTCACCAGGAGTGAGAATTTTCTTGAAGTTTAGGCCACTTACAATAAACTCTTCTGCTCTCATGGTGTTTTGTTTGCCTTCAAACCTCCTTAAAGCTGGAGACAACCTGCAACAGAATCTCTTTGGGAACACTTTAGATTCTTCTTGATGGTTAAGGTCAAAACTGTAAGATGTGTTCCTTTTTTTTCCCTGGAATGATAGATTAGGATCTACAAGGAATTAAAAAAAAAATATTTGGGATTGATATTGTTTATAGCTCTACCTCTAATTATTTTAAATGATTTTTAGTTTCTGTAATGTATTCCTAGAATGTACGACTGGTCTGGTCCCACTCTTGTTAGTGAGATTGCTGTAATCTTCCAATCCATTTTTGTTTTGGCACTCAGTTTGTATCCCTATTAAATCTGTCAAACCTTTTGACAGCCAACTCCGAGCATTTGCCAAGCTGGCTATCTTTAATTTGAGGAAGGAAACACTCATAGAGATGGCTTTCTCTATAAGTGTTGATGATTTTCTTTAAAAGGACAAGTTCCAGACAGTGAGTCATGCATGTCTTTGGGAAGCAGCCTATGCATCAAGTTAGCTGATGGGAGTTACTACTTTATCAGGAATAGGATGAAACTTAATGCTGCAAAACACCATCTCTAGATTTTTTTTCCTTTTACTTGAGTGAGCAATGGTCTTAATTTTATGTAATAATGCACATACAGTTGTACTATGGCTAATTAAATGTGTCATCTTGCTTTAGATAAGTTTCTTTCATGTTGAGACTCTTGATGTAGTTGATGCAAACTGGTTTTGATTCAATGGAGCTAATTTATATTGGTTAAGGATCTGGTCAATTATGTTCTGCTTATGTCATCTTGTAAGAGGGAAATAACAAGGAGTAAATTCATAACCTCATGTCTCATTAAATAAAGCATCAAACATAAAAAAAGTTCATTAAATAATAATTCTATTTAACTAAGCAAGCTTGACTGTGGCTGAAGAAATGGATAGAATGTATGCATAATTGACAAGATTGGAAAACAAATTACAGAAAGGGCAAGTTCAGCCTAACCTTAAGAATGTGTTAGAATTCATTCAAACTCACCATTAGGAGTTTGGGGGGAATGTCTTCATTTTTACCTCAGCTGAGGAAATATAGAGTACACTAAGATAACTAAACCAATAAAAAAGCCCTTGTATTAACAAGTCAGCCTTCAAACAACCATTATACAACAACTTCTGTGTTTACTGATGTAGTTCCACTCGTCAGTCTTAATATTTTCATATTGATAGAATGTTTAATATCTAATAAAAGGAAATTTTTAACTGGAATATGCCTTTTCTAAGCAGACATGATGACAGAGTACTGCTTTATTGGAGATTTACCAGCATATACTTGTGATCATTTTAGGTATTTGAGATGCTAAATTTAAATGTTTTTGTGAATAAGACTGGGACTACCTAAGGGCTTAAAATCAAGCATGTTATCAGACTGTAATGAGCTCTTGTCTAGAGCTAGGCAAATATGTAACCAATATTTTTTCCTGTACTTTGTAGAAACATACAGTTCTATACAATTTTTGGGCTGAGTTCTGTCATTCTATTTCTACTCTCTGCCTAATGTCTGAAAACAGTTTAGTACATTATTGTTGCTTAAAAAAAGGTAGTATTTAATTAGAAGTAGTGATTGGAAAAAACAAATTAGTTAATTTTTAGAATTATAACCTAGCTATTTTGTGTCTAGTATTCTCTTTTGTAGGTGTAAATTATATTTTGCCCTGATTATAAGGTTTGCCAATGTGACATTCTGTTTTATGTACAATAGTATTTCTTCAGTACACTGCTCACTGTGCTGCCATAGCTGGAACTTTGTCTGGGTTGACAGATCTGCTCTAAATCAGCCTGAATTATTCTAAACTTTACCTTTTGTCTACTTGATTATATATGCAGGAAATAACATAGTAGGGAATTATATAACTTTCCTAAGTTATTTAAAAGAGTGAGATTTGAGTTAATAAAATGACCAAGGTTTTCAAGACCATTTCCTTTATGGAACAGTTGTGCCTATATGCTGTATCTGTTGCAAACTGTTTGCTAATTATAAAGTTAACTTATATTTCAGCTGCAGTGGATGGTTTGTTTTTTTTTTTTTTTATCTGAATAGATACAGGGGTACACATTGACCAAGTCATTGTCCTTTAGAAGCTGAGCCTAAATCCTCTCTACCTTCTACCACTCTAGCCTAAATAATGTCTTATTATTCATTTCTGGACCTATCTTCCTCACCAGTATGTATCCGTTCTAGTCTTTTTGTTCTCCCTTCTTTCTTAATTAAATAGATACTTTTTACCATTACAGATTAAATTATCCAACAATATCTGGTTGTAGTGATCAGAATAATGAGCAAATGTTATTTTTAATATAGATAACTTTGATTTTGAGCTTCTATTCAAGCTAAGTGGAGTATTAAATTAAACAGTGGTTGAATTTTGGGGAAAGCTTTGTACCAGCTAAATTTTAAACTGACTTTTAATAATGTATTTCTAGTAGCACTTTCTAAAGTCTATCTAATGTTCTTCAGACAAGTTGAGGTTTTCTGAATCATCATAGACATACTAAATATCATTTTTGGCTGTTTATACTCCTGAACTTTTCAATATTACTTCCTAAATAAACTCTGTGCCCTTGATTTGAGTTCACTTTGTACTTTTCGTACCATAATCTCTGCTGGGATATGGATAAAAACCCTTGAATTATTAGATAAAACTTACAACCTACTGACCTGTGCCTAAGATTGCAATTTGGAAAACCTGATTTCATATCTGTCTTTGCTTTTGACATTTTTCCTATAGCCTTGTTTAAAGACAGAAAAATATTCTTCTATCTGTAGAGCCTGAAATCTTTTTTCTTAAGAGTGTGGATTCTTATATTTTGTTTGACTACTGCACTAATGGTTTTTGAAACAAATTGAAATGTATTCCTGGTTTAAAGACCTCACACCTTAAATAAAAGGGAAATCATCTGAGAACACAGGTTGTGTGCTACGACTTTGTATGGAAACCACTCGTGGGGGTGATTTGATTTGTTGCTTTGGTTTTTTTTTTTTTTCCTAAGCCCTGTTGGGGGGGGGGGGGAAAATTCAAAGCAGGAATTCCGGGTCAGTGTCTTTTCCATATTCAGAAGGGAAAAGTGAGGCATGAGGAAGCCTGGAGACTGGCCCAGTGCCACAGCCGTGTCAGTCACTGGTCCAACAGCACTGACAGGGGTGTCGTACTTGAGAGCCAGACAAGGTATCTGCTTGGCCAGCACGCTGCCGAGCTGAACGGTGTCTGCAGCTGCAGTGAGGGTTGGCTCCTTTTTTTCCCTTTGTTCAGAAACATTCTGAATGATCTTATCCAGCCTGCTAATATCAAGAAACACTAAAAGTATGGAGCCTTATATACTCATAATCCTTCTTGAGAAAGAGACTATGTATGATACAAGCAGACGGCTGTAGAATGCCAGCTTTTAGGAACTGGGGACAGTGTGCAAGTCAGAGGGATGCAGAAAAAAATTAATAAGCCCTTTAATAAGGGCTTGTTAAAGCACAGCAGCAGGATAGGATGAAAGCAAGTGGGAGCATGTGAGTCTATCTGAAGTCAAATCTCTCAAACTTTGAACCGTTAGCATAACTGTTAATATTTTTGATAGACCAAAGTAGAATGCTGGTAATCAAGACCCTGAAAATGTAAGAAGGTAAATTTCTAGAATGTAAGAGTTAGCAATGTCCTTCTAAATTAAAAAAAGATTGCGTCATATTTGTCATTAAAGAATGAGACACTTTATTTTTACTCCCACTTGCAAGGACCAGTAGATGGAAAAGATTAGCAGTAAGCAGCAAAAGCTTGAGGGGAAAAATGACCAATGTCACCTTTCAAGCCACAAAAGCTGCAGCAACTGAATTTTTATGCTGCTTCCCAGCTCACCCAGATGACTTACAGTTAACATTTGCAGCACTGCACTGCTGAGAACTAAAGGCTTACTCAGCAGAAGGAAGGTAAGGTGAATACACGGCGCTTGCTCGTACGGGGTCAGCGTGAGCTGAAAATGCTTCACGCTATACCATCATCAATATTACTGGATAGGGAATGCAACCAAATGATAACAGGGCTGGCTGTGACCTTGGTGTAAGTGACAAACACCCTACATTATAGCAGTTCACAAGTGGCAATAAGTAATAGTGCTCCGCAGAGGTGGCCATCAAATATAAGTAATTAACTGAAGCAATGTAGGGAGAATACACGAGCCTGGGAAATGGTCCAAGAAAGAAGTATAAAAAATACCCAGACAAGCTGGAGGAAAAAGACATTTTTTGTTTTAAGATGAGAGACTTATGAAGGTTGCTGATAGTGTCCTGGACTGGCTGGGAAGTGGAGATAAGTTGGGTGAATGCTATATATATATAAAAAAAATATCTTGCATGCCTTGGATGATATCACAGTGGCAAAACTGGTAGTTCCTTTCCTGATCACAAGCAAAGCATATAGTAAACTAATACATATCTCCTGGGAGTGGGGAGGGAAGGGGATGTCCGGACTGAGGCTTGAAACATAAATATATCCAGGGCCAACATCCTGAAATTACAGAAAAAAAAAAATAGCCTTAGCTTCAATTTTTAATAGGCTTTTTTTTCTTATTCTCACCTCTGTGAAGGAAAAGGGATGAGGCTTGAAAGCATCTCCAGCACGTAATTGAACTAGTGATGTCTTTCTGAGTCAGCAGCTGAGGGGTGCGATGGGTGAAAATGAAATGAAAAGCAAGACTTTTCCAGTGCAGAGGTGTGTCAGAGCTACAGGTCACTTGGAAATCTTTAGTCCTGCAGAGGCATTTCTAGCAATTAAGCGTCTTGTACGTTTTGCAAGTATGTGTACCCTTATCAAAAGTATGAATTCAGAAGAAAACCATTTGTGTCAGCTTTGTCTCTAACCATCTATTACTTTCCAAAGCTATGAAGTCTGTATGGAGGTGGAAGCTCAACCTTCAAACTGTTTGTCTCACTGTGTGCTGTCTTGCAAACATCAAAAGCCTTTTATATTTTTTCACAGTAGGTCAAACTTTATTAGCTGTCTTTATCACATTCTGCTTCCCACCTTTTCTGAAAACTGGGTGTTATAAAGTAAACAGGGAACATTTGCAGTTTCTTGCAGAAAGGAAGAGACACACACTATACTGCTGTTAAATCCAAGAACTTAATACCTCCATTTTGTGTAACCTCTGGAAAATGTTTATGTTGAAAAATAGAAGAAAAACGTAACATACCTCTTTTTTCCCCCTCTTTTTGCTTTACAAGGGCAGTTGCAAAACAGAACATGTTATTTCAGCCCTTTGGGTAATCAAGGGCTGGGGCAAATGATAGGAAAGTTGAGAGTAGATCATTAATTTGCAACTCTTTTCTTTTTCTCTTTAGCTGAACAATATCATTTTTACAGACCGTAGCAAGAACTTCCGTATTGAACTCTTACTCTGCTTTTCTGTGAATTCCATAACTGGACAAGGAAACAGGCAATATTCTCCCCTTTGTTATGCTTTCCCCTTCCAATTTAATAAGCAGGGGCAGCCTTAAGCAGGTGTTATGGAAAAGAAACAACAATTGCTTAAGATTGTCCTGTGGCTCATATCAAATGTGCTTCTGAAACTACATGACAAGCAGAGAGATTTGAGGGTGAGACAGAAATAGAACTTCTTCAGATGCTATGGTTGGAGGGAGGTGACCCAGGGAACACTTTATCAATTCATCATCACAAAAAACTTGTTTCCTTAACTGGAGCAGTGAACTCTTTCCTCCATACCAGAATTTCTTTTTAATCTGCACAAGCAGATTTGTAAGTGTTCCATGTTTGCAAATTGGTCAGAATTTGGTAACTGCTCAGTATTCAAAGTGCCAAGTCTGTTTACAAAGGGCTGCTTTCCCTGAAGCCAAACCAGTTGAGCTCTCTTGAATGTCAAGCCCAGTTTCCTGTAAAAAGTAAAGACAGTTTTGTCCTACATGCACCAGCATCATGATGACTTCAAATCCTACAAAAAAGTGGAGCTTGCTGGTTCAGTGTGGTGATTTCCAGTGTGTCTTTAAGAAAGCAGAGAATAATAGTAGGGAGGTTGCCCATGAATAGGTCTGACAATAGTTGAGAACTGTAAATAACTATGATTGTCCTGCAGGTCTTCACTTTTGTTTTTTTTTTTATATCTTTTTAGAAGTCTGTCAGTTATAAAATGAATATGCACTGGTGAATATCTTTGAATACTGATTGTTCAAAAATGCTTTATCAAAAAGTCAAACTCTTTTTGTGGTGCTTCAATCCTGCAGTGAAGGACAAATATCAAAACCACTAGAGAATTTAAATAACACACTTTCAATGGACTTCAGAAAATGGGATGTTTATAGGTATTTCTATGCTTTTGAAAATATGCTTCTGAATAAAACTAGAAATGTATAAATCACCTAAAAAAAGAAATTATATGCTGTGTACCACATGCAGTTTTAAAGTAAAGTCCATGAACAATTCTAAAGTGTTATCTACTTGCAGAGTTGTACATAATCCAGTAATTATTGATGTATGTTTTTCTTTTTATTCTTCAGTAAAGTCAAACTTTTGTTCTCATGTGTTTTTGTTTTTTTTCCCCAGGAATGTACCATGCTTGAAAATGGTAAGAAAGCTTCTCTTTTCTAGAACACAATCCTAACTGGAAACCATATTGAAAACAGAAGAGTTGTCCTTGTCCACATCATATGTGCTTAGGTTTAGAAACTGACTCATCATATTGAATATTATTCTGGTAAAATTCTGTGGAAAACTTTGGAATCTCCACAGAAACCTTTCAAGTGAGAGCTGGTCAGTTTGTTGCAAGCACACAGTTTTCACTGGCTGCCTGTACTTTCCTGAATTCATGACTCTTTCTTCATTTTATCCAGCCTTCCTAAAACGTAAGTATCCCTGAAATTGTAAGATTTTTGTGGATGTGCACATATGGTTCTACCCAAGATAGGCACCATTTTAGAAGACAGAAGAAACTGTTTCACTATGAAACCACCCAGAACAGTTGTTAGAACATATTTCCATTTACAGCTGAGAGCCAGCTGGCAATGTCTCCTCCCTGGCTGTAGATATTTGCCAGAATTAAATGTGGATTTGTTCTCCCCGCCTTCCAATTTTGCCTTTGTTTCTAATATTTCAGATTCATCTACCCTGTGGCCTCAAATTATTTTCTATTGATTTTTTTTTTCTTTTTCAGTATTTACCTGTGACTTATTCTATGGTAAGAATTTTCATACCAGAGAATTTCCTCTGCATCTGCATTTGATTCACCCTTTCAAAGACATCACGTTTTCACTGACTGACCCTTTGTAAGGACACCTCACTTCCTTCTTGAAGAGGCATTATTGGTGCAAAGCAAACTTTCTTTAACTAAATCAGAATGGATGAAACCAAAATTTGACACTTTATGTTGGACTTTCCATATATTCAATTCAGGCACATTTCACGAGGAAGCTTCTACTGAAATGTTTATCAACTATTTCCCTAAATAATAATCTGTTTATCTCAATAATGTTGTTTATAATATATTGCTTATAACATTTATTTTTTGTCAATTCTTTGGGTCATATTATATATGCAATTTACAGAGATCCTGGTACCTTTCAGAATTCTGGACATTGCCATTTCATTACTTAGAGCAAGAACCGTGAAAGATTTTAGCAGACAATTAAAACCAGGTATTTCCCCCCCCCTCCCCGGGAAAAAACGGGAGTCTGGCTGCTAGTAGAAACTACAATTTTATGACTTTTGTAGAGAAATAAGAGTTAATATGTGCTGATATTGAAATGACTTTTTGTGGGTTTTGCTTTTTTTTCTCCCTCTGAGTATTTTAGTTTTAAACCGCTGAATAACACTGCTGTACTAAATATAAATTCTATGTAATACAAAAAGGTGCAGTTGTACTTCATATGTACATTATATCTTGTATTAAAAACAAAATTAGTCCATGTATTATGCATATTATTTGGGCAAACTATGGCTTTTTGTTTGGTTGGTTTTTTTGCAGTGTGCTAACTGATGAAAATTTGAGTGCAAGTTTTCCATGTGTTAGACAGTATTTCACGTGATGTTTTTATCAATCTCATTTATTAAAATTTGTCTTTTTAATCTGATGCCCAATTATCATAAGAGTCTCTTCATAAATGTTTACATACACTAGGAACAAAAAAAAACCCTTATGGAGAGCATCTCTAGAAAACTGTTACCATCCATTTGCTTCATAGGGAGCTCTGTATTCTTCAGATACTCCCTGTATCTGCTTGATTATTTTTTTCTTGGCTGGACTTTACCTTTTCTATGCACTCTCAAATGTATATGGTTGAAAATAACAGAAAATTAGAAATCTGCTTTTATGAAAAATGCCTTTTTTTTCTGTAGTCCCTTCTCACATGGGCCACAAAATGATGCAACTTCAAGCACAAGCACATCCAATCAACAGTATACATGGTGTTGAATCATCTGCAGTTATTTTTATTAGTTTTCTATTAATGTTCAACTCAATTTTCAAATTACTGTATTTCTAGGGAGTTCTCCAAGATAAAACTGGTGAAGAGAGAACCTTCCCTTTCCCTATTCTGCTTTCTTGTATTATAGTACCCTTAAAAATGGACATTTTCTATAGATATTATGAAGCACTAACAAATACTGCAGTGTGCTGAACCTTGGCTTTGAAGCATGTGTCATGTTACCTTTTAAATCAGTAGAAACATCTTATTTCAGAGCAATCCACTGAAATTTGTTGCAGAAAAGTGGACAGAAAATGACTGAAAAGAACTGTCTCATTCAATCTAGCAGTAGAGCAACAATAATCTAAGAAAATGTTTTAAATTTCATATTAATTCCTTAAAATAATCATAAAATCAATGGAAGAGTATTTTTGGAAATTGCGATGGCTGATCACTGTTATTTGTTTTTTAAACACTTTAAGCAGTGTTTTTAGTTAAGTGTACAGAGCATTCAAATCCCTTTCCATAATTTCTAATAATTTACATACCCCAAATGTTACCTAGATTAGAATTACAAATATCAGGTATGGTGTGATTTACCTTGAGTAACATTCACTGTCTAAATGTAAATCTGGGTAGTAGATTTACAATAGATTGAAGAAATTGAAAAGGTTTTTTTTACTTGCATGTGATTAAGTCTGAGACATAAAAGTTTTATACTCTGTCATTAGATAAAATCTTATCCCTTTTTTTTACTGGGTGAGTTTTGAGATGTTGCACATAAAAAAAGAGAATCTTCAAGGCTATTAGCCCTTTTTGACCCCTGAAGTGAAAATAAAATAGAGGCAAAAAAGGCAATATTGAATTTGAAACTTGTGTGCAGCAGCACAATGGAATTTCTTCCATTGGGAGCAGGATGGTAATGATCCTGAGAACTTGCTCTCTACATGAATAAGGAAGGATCAAAAAACAGTAAAGACAAGGGAAAAGGAGGAGGAGGAAGAAGAAAGGTTATTATAAAACTAATCATAAATTATCAGCGAAGATTGATAATGATATGCCACGACAAGAGGGAGGAAATAACTCAAAATATGATGGTGCAGGAGGAAAGAAAGAAAAGGTCAAGGCTTCCCACCCTCCCACACTGTATCTCCCACAAGCATTGGTCTCTTTTCTATCTCTTGCAGTACATTGGGAAGTGGAGACTTCATTTGTCCTGGTCTGGAGGCATCAGCTGGAGCTCCTTTCTGTCCCCAGTATGTGTACCCATCCTTCCTTGCCCTGCATCTGCAGAAGTCTGGCACTGTGAGGCATAATAGACACCTGTTTGGCAAAAATTACACTGGTTGTTGGGTTGATGTCCTTAATCTCTGGACAGGCTGGTTTAATCTTTTCAAAACGAAGTGACTATGCAATATTGTTTCTACCTCAATATTTGAATACAAGATATACTAGAAAACAGTGGGGGGTTCAGTAGTTTTACTGTTAATATTGACATATATCTTGAATAAGGAGAAGACTACTTCACAAACCCACATTTACTTTTTTTTGTAACATGAGATCAAACACATGTAGTTCTTGCACAGTGGCCATGGAGTGATGACATGGAAGAAGGCACAGAGACAGAGTATCAGACTTGCTATAGTCAGCCTCTGGACAGTTTAAAAATGGCAAATAAAAGTAAAACAGGGACCAAATCAAAGTGATGAAGTAAATACATATAGGGGCATTCACCCATGTTTCCTCTGTAGTCCCAACATGATGTCTAGCTCCAAATATTCGACCTGTGCTTTCTTACAGGCTTGTTAAGCTTTGGTGCTCACCAGTGAGGGTTTGGAACAGGTATGTGCTCAGAAAGATGAAAATAACGATAAACATTTGAAATTGGGGAAAAAAAAAAAAAGAAAAAGAAACAAAGAGTAAAATGTTCACTATAAAAACTTCATACTGTGTTATTGAAATTAACACTAAAGTTTGCTCAGTTCTCACTCCTTATGTTTGGCTTGTATTGAGTGGTGATGATTACACGACACTGGTGCATGGACGAATATTCTAATAGATTTTTAATTGAACTGAGGAAAACACTTGTGGGGTCAAAGTTTTTAATGAATGAACAGATTAAATGTCCCATGAAAGGTACCATATGGTTTTTTAAAATCTGAAAATTAGTTGCAAAGTCACAGTTAATTTAATTATATGGTCTCTGTCTTGGGATAATAAAGTAGACTGAGAATTATAATAGTCAGAGAATGAAACCTTTGCTATTGAGAGACATTTTGAAAATGAAATGTTTGGCTAACTGCTTTTAAATTACTCTACTCGTACTTATAAAGATACTATTTTAAAAATAATGTATTTAGGTCATAACACAATAATGATTGGTGGCGTGAAATCTTCTGAGTTGTACCTTCTTGCTGTGCTGGGTATCACAATTTCTGCATGCACATTTTGCTCATAGTAAAGCAAAGGTAAGTGGGAAAACATGGGAAGAAAATATCTTGGGCCACTGATAACATTTCCTGTTTATAAGTACACTGACCTACCTTTTTAAGCACTACCAAAAGTGCAACTATTAAAGAACATCCTTGTAAGACAGCATCTGCCCTCCAATGCACCTGTAGCTGTCAGTAAAATGATTAAAAAAAAAAAGCTTATGAATACAAACTGGAATCTGTCATAGTCTTTCTCAACCAGTAATGTATTCTGATAATCCTTCTGCTTCTATATGTTATTTGTACTCATAATTTTTGAAAATTTCAAATGTATATTCTTCTTTCCAACACAGTATTTTTTACCAGCTTGATCATCACTAACTCTTCTTTTTTTTTTTTCTTTATTCTTGGTATTCAAATTCTATATCTGCATTGACTTTCTTCTTTCCAAGTGAATGATAAATAAAGTCAAGTTTTTGACTCATTAATCTGAATACTTATGGGCATCATGGACCAAAGTTTATCTTGTGATTAACAGGCAAGACAGGATTTGTGTGAGGAATTAAAAGCAGATTGTTCATGGAAACAATTGTTCTTTACACCTGTGAATATTCTGCTTTAATGACAGTGAAATCACAAGTCTATTCAGCAGTAAAGTCAGTCATTGGTAAGAAATAAAGCCGGTTTTGATTACATTTCTTTCAAATATAGTATAAAAAATTCTTTCAAATTTAGGTTTCTTTTCATTCTGGTCAAGTAACTTTGAAGATGTACACTTGAGGTGTGAAAGCATCGACTTTTATATTCTTCTGAAAATGGTTAATTTATTTACAGTGTCTGGAGCAAAGGATCTTCAGAAATGTTATTAATAATTGTTAAAGAAGTGAATATGATAATAGAAAATTAATTAATTAGAAAAATACATTTTAAAAAAGTGTCATAAACATAGGTGCAGAAAACGTAAAGCAAAAACTCACCAATCAGCAAAACATAAGATTATAATGCTTTTTTTTTCTTTACTAACAACTTGAAGAAGACTGTATCTTTGCAAATAGATTTCATGAGAATCTTTAATAAGTATCCACCCTGACTTCTTATACCAAAATGAAATGTTAGGAAAAGGCTAGAAGTTATGTCCTGCTTCAACAATTACTGAATAGAAAAAAACTGGTTTGAAGTAGAGAATACCCAGAGGAAAATTGAGTAGATAACCTGAGTCATTAAACTGCATTGTTAAGAGTGATTCAATTAAATTTTTTCCTTATCTCACCTTATTTTCAGGGGCAGAGGGTTTCTATAGACTTGTAATACTGTCTTGTATTAACCAATTTCCACCTCAAATGTATTAGTTTTTCTTTCTCAAATGAGCAGTTTTGAATACTTGCAGTCAAAAGTGTTCATAGCAGACTAATATAGTTAATCCTATTGATTATGCTTAGGGTGAAATATTTCCTATTCTTTGTCATATTATTAAATTATGCAACATAGAAACTTTCATGACATAAAGGGAACTATGTATAGGAAGAATTTTTACTGATCTAAATGACTGTACTACTGAGTATTAAAAATGTATTGTATAGGAGGTAAAGAAATTGGAATGTTCCTCTGTGGAAATTGGTTTTG